AGAGAAAGAAAATAGAGATGGGGAAAGTGAGTGAAAAACTCTGCAGTGGCAGTTGTGACAGTGTTTCAGAAAGTGATGCAATGCACACTTATACTCTGTTCTAAAACACAGTGTGCTGCCTATATAGACAGCATTTTAAAGCATGTCAGGACACTGAGGCTGTTCCAAAAGATTCTTTTCAACTTTTTGTTAAAGTGCATTACTATGCACAAGCATGCCTGTGATGTTGCTTTAGAATTTGGCCAAACTCTGATTTTTTTTTACTTATTTCAGTCAAATTCTAAGGCAGCGTCACATGTAAGCTTGTGCATTGCATTCCTGTAGCTCAAGCAGTAGATCATGGTGCTTGCAACACCAAGGTCGTGGGTTCAATTCCCAGGGAATGCATGCACTGATCAAACATATACCTTAAATGCAATAAAATTCATTTTGGATAAAAGCATCTGCCAAATGCATAAATGTAAAACAGGGTTATTATAGTTAACTAAAACTGAAATGAAAACCTAAAATAAAATACTAATAAAAAATGATAAAAAAATTAAACCTAAAATTAACAAATTAAAAAATAAAATTCTAATCTAAAATGAAAGCATTTTCATTACTCGAAATAAATAATCAATCTTAACTGAAAAAAATATTTTGCCAGGGCAGTATCTCATTTTTATTTAGTTGAACTTGATGTACTAAAATAACTAAAATTGAAATAAAAAATTATAAAAGCTATATTAACATATTAAAAAAAAAAACTACTGAAAATGACAATAACACAAAAAATAACTAAAATTGAAATGAAAATGGAAAATTAAAAGTGATTCAAAATATGAATACAAACTATAATAGCGTCTCGGTAATACTAAAATAACACTGATGTAAATTGTAATGCATTGCAAAAAAAATCTCTATAAAAGTGGAGGAAGTTCTTACAAAGTAGTTTATTAAATACTGATATATATATAATTCTTATTAGTGTTTCACAAATTAATTATTGACTTCTGAGTTTGTAATTAATTTAGGATGCTGTCTATGTTAGACTCACTTGATGTCGGAGCAGAGCGCAGAGCTAATCACGCAAACGCTGCGATGAAAATATGATTTTCTCTGGGAATGAAACCACAACAAAAGTGTTACTGCAGAGAGCAGCGTTTGGGGAGAACTTCTCAGATCACAGGCTGACAGGCAGAGAGGCTCTTTTGAGTCTTGAAGAGTGACATGGAGAGCTGCTGGGTCATCGGCCCGTCACTCGTCACTTTAAATCATCAACGAGGAAATCCCACCCGTTTACAAACAGATCATTCCGTTTTTTAAGTTTCAGACCCTCTGCTTGGGACTCTCTGAAAAACAAAAAACATTTAGATGTATGTAGTTGCATTGAATATTATGCTTCCATCTATTTGGATTACACAGTTTTAACCCAAACACAATAATAAACATGCATATTTGTCATGCATATTGTAATAGATTTCTGTAATAGCACTAATAAACTGAATGTGGTTAAAATTCACACTAATCAGGTTTGTATGTTTATCATCAAATCAATCCAGTTTGTTTCAATATAATTTTATTTTAACTGAATATCGTTTGTTTCACAGCTAGACATATTTTAAGCATGTTCATTTTTTAAAACTGAACGAAATACATGTTTATAAAAATATATATTTATTGAACAGATTTGTGCTGATTCTAAACGAGTAAAATACATGCATTTTGAAAATATGATTATTTAAATAAAATCAATGACAAATGTCTGACAAAATCATGCATCACTTTAAGCTTATTAGTTTATTTATGTTAAAACTGTGTAATCCAAATAACATATGATAATGAGTAAATAATGACAATTTTCATATTTGATTGTATGATTCCTTAAAGTATTGTGAGATTTTATTTTATTTTAGCCGACTTCAGAGTTGCAGTTCCAATAGAAATTTTATATGAATTTTGAATTTGAAATTATATATTTTGTTTGTTCTTTTTTTAAATATGATACTGTTCCAGATAATGTTGATCTCGGGACTGTATTGAAGTGAAATAAATTCTAAATTACAGTTAAAATGGAGAATGTGTTTTATTTCGCGCCAGTTCGAGAGCGGTCAGTGAACGTCCAGCCGGCAGGTGGCGGTAGAGTTCTGGGTTGGTTTACATTTCTCATCCGATTTATCCGTAGAGAAAGAGCGTGCTGGACATGGCCGCCACAACAGTGACGTCCTAATCTAACCTGCAATTTTTATATTAAAATGTGTTAAACCACCACTGAATTCACAACAGGAGAGTGTTTTTTAGGGCTGACACCATGGGGAAGAAAGATAAGAGTGATCGAGGTAAGATGGATGCCATGCTTTAGAAATAAACACAATTTAATCAAAGTTTGATGGACCATGCAAGATCTGCTGTTATCTACCGTGTTTAACTAATGCAGCAGAAACCATTACAAAGGCATTATGGTTTAAAGATAACCATGAGCTTATTTCTGTTCAAAAGTAATATCATATAAACACTATGGTATACAATCTAAACAGACTCTTAAATCAGGAGTGCTCAATCCTGTTCTTCCATTCCCTTGTGAAAATGAAATGCCATTACTTATATTGCACTTATAGTGTACTTAAAGTGAATATATTAAAAAGGTGTATTTGTGTGTGTGTGTGTGTGTGTATATATATACTATATATATGCATGTCTATTCCATATCTACTATAATATTATAAAATATAATATGTTGCTTGCAAAAAATTATTTTGGCCAGAATAAACTTATGCATTTTTGAATGGCTGTTAATGAAACAAAGAGTAGCTTTTTACTCACATAATGATGTAGTTTTAGCAATTATCCAGCAGCAACTAAACCTGGTCGATTACTCAGCAGATGTTTGGACGTTTTGTGATCTCCGGACATCAGTATTGGCAGCAGCCATTGCAAACCACATATTGATCGAGCACTAGTGTCAATCTGTCTGTTTTTGGTTTGTTTTGCGTTATGTTCATTCTCCAGGGCTTTGTCTGCATCTAATTGAACAGTGCGGCTCCTGAGCGCTACAGAATCACAGATTGATTGTGTTGGCAGAATGTGGATGTGGTTTAGTATGCATGTGAAGCGTGAAGCATGCAAATTTCATTGGAACTAAATTTCAGCTGAGCTTCCCAGTCGGATTTGCTCCAGGAGCTCGACAACATTATAATGAGAAGCTGAGCTGCTGTCAGTCTCTTTGTGTCTGAAGACACGTTCTCTGTTCGCTCTTCAGCTTCTGATTCATGGTCTTACATGACCACAGTTTTCCAGTTTTCATGCATGAGAAAAACCCTGAGCATCTACAGCGGGACTGAGAACATATATAATTTTTTGAATTTCATTAATTATGTATATTATCTATTATTTTGTGTTAATTTTTTTCCTGTTACCATTTTTCCACATCAATATCAAACACCAAACAAATGATTCATTTCACTTTTTGCTGAAAACCTGACTACAGTTACAATACTTTTAAAATGTGTTCGGTCCTTTTTATAGCTTGAAATGGTCATTGATTGAGATAAAAAATCTGCATCAAGAGTCTTCAAACATTTGCCTTTTGTATTGTTTCACAGTAAAATAAATAAATAAATAACATACAGGTTTAGAATGACAAAGATATAATAAATAATAACAATATAATAACATGAGGATATTAGTGACAAAATGACAAAATGTTACTTTTTGATCGAGTGGTTCTTTAAAATATTGTAACATTTTATATTATTTTTATTTAATTTAATTTCGTTTTACAAATGCAATTCCACAAAGTAAGATGCAGATGAACAGAGAGGATATAATAATGAGTAAATAATGACAGAATGTTGAGAATTTTTTTGATTGAACTATTCCTTGAAATATTGTACGTTTTAAAAACATTTAAAAAATGTTGCTTGTACATGAGCTTTTAGATATAATACGTGACCCTGGAGCACAAAACCAGTCATAAGGGTCAATTTTTCAAAATTGAGATTTATGCATCATCTGAAAGCTGAATAAATAATCTTTCCATTGATGATAATAACATGAGGATATTAGTATATAATGACAAAATGTTACTTTTTGATTGAGTGGTTCTTTAAAATATTGTAACATTTTATATTATTTTTATTTTATTTTATTTCGTTTTACAAATGCAGTTCCACAAAGTAAGAGGCAGATGAGCAGAGAGGCAAATTTGAGGATATAATAATGAGTAAATAATGACAGAATGTTTAGAATTTTTTTGACTGAACTATTCCTTGAAATATTGTAAGTTTTGATATTTATTTGATTTTATTTTGACTTCAGAGTTGCAGATGAATAGAGACGCAAAGTTGAAGATCTTTTTTCCGTGTTTTTTATTTATGTTGCTTGTACATGAGCTTTTAGATATAATACATGACCCTGGAGCACAAAACCAGTCATAAGGGTCAATTTCTCGAAATTGAGATGTATACATCAGCTGAAAGCTGAATAAATAATCTTTCCATTGATGTATGGTTTGTTAGGATAGGACAATATTTGGCCGAGATACAACTATTTGAAAATCTGGAATCTGAGGGTGCAAAAAAATCTAAATATTGAGAAAATCATCTTTAAAGTTGTCCAAATGAAGTTCTTAGCAATGCATATTACTAATCAAAAATTAAGATTTGATATATTTACGGTAGGAAATTAACAAAATATATTAATGGAACATGATCTTTACTTAATATCCTAATGATTTTTGGCATAAAGAAAAATGCATAATTTTGACTCATACAATGTATTTTTGGCTATTGCTACAAATATACCCCAGCGACTTAAGACTGATTTGTGCTCCAGGGTCACATATATTATTGCCAAAAAACTAAACACTATAAATCCCTCGGCTCATATTCACCCAGATCATATTAATAGATGACAATTAAAGCAAAGTGCGGAGCTGTCCTCTTTCATGTGTTTCTAAGTTTACATTTAATTTTCTCTCTCTCTCTTCATTCCTGCTTTCTGCCGGCCTCGCGCTGCTGAAGGAAGTGGAGGTTTGTTTCTGTGTGATGTCTGTGTTTCACCGGAGGCCCTCAGGGGCCCGACTCATTAACAGTCTGGTTTACTGCCATTCAACAGCAGTATATGTTCAAACCAATAACACTAATCAAACATCTATAACCCTCTGGTCGACTGATTTACAATTTTAACAGAATTTTGAGTAAATATTGTGTATAACAAAGGAACATTTGAACTATTTGGTCTAGATCAGGATAAAATACCTCTTTGAATGTGTTTTATTTTACGTCACGCATGTGATTATATAATGATTTCTCTCTGGGGTTTCTCATCAGGATGACTACATCCGTACACTGGAAGGTCCACAGGCTTCGGATGAAAGTGAGTAACACAACATACTCTTCGCTTATAAAATCTCAAAACACGTCACATCAGAACCAATGAAAAAAATAAGATAGATAAAATGACCATTTTATATTATATAAAAATAAGAAGAAATATTTTGCTCAGAGAAAATGAAGCCTAAATGAATCTTATGTATTTATACTTATTTTTATTTTTATAATAATTATTATTAAATAATATATTTTTTTACATCACTGTAGTTGTTTGTTATGCCTTTAAGCTGATTCAAACCAAAATTGTACTACAATTGTTAGTTGTTGTTTTTTTAAATTAAAATTCATTCACATTACAATGAGAAAATTGTCATGAAAATATTACAATGCAAAAACAGTTCTTGATGGTACTAAAAATAAGCGGTTTTTTTTAAATCAAAGTGTAATTTTTTTTTTCTTTAATTTTAGGGAGACATTACCATAAAAAAATTATGCCTTTAGCACATTAAAATTAAAGTTGAAAAGGATTGTCAGTGTCATTTTAGTATCATTGAGATACTATTGTACTTTTAATTAGTTTTTTAATATTTTTTTATTTTAATTTTTAAGTTTTAGAAATGTTGTTGTATTTCTGTCATTTTTAAAAATATATCTACATAGTTTTTATTAATTTTTTATTTCAGTTTCAATGCAGTTTTCAGTTTTTAACACAGCAAGTTAATGATAAAAGGTACTTTTTTATATTTTTGTTTTCTTTTATATTTTATATTATTTCAGTTAATGTTTATTTTATTTTTTGTTTGTTTGTTTTAATTTACTCTAACTATAATAACCCTGTCCAGAGCCAACTCAAAATCTAATCAACTCTATGTATTTCTTAATGTAAATCTGTAAGGTACCCAATATTTCAGGATAAATCTGCTCAGTGTGCATCCGAAGCGCTCTGACTGTATTTCCATTTTTACACAAATATAATCCGTCTTCACTCATAAATGCATTTATTCTTCTGCTCGTAACATCAGAGATGAAGCATCAATCTGTCCATCATGATATAGAAAAATAATTAAAGGTCACGACCATGGGCTTTTAATGTGCACTGAAAAAAACATTTTGAAACAGTTTTCACTCAGTAAAAAATTATAGATGTATAGATGCAGACATTTGATGCTTTTGTGATGATTAGCATGGTTTGCACTTTGCCTTTTTGACAAAAAAAAAACGTTTTACTCAAATGTAAACGTCTTTATGAATGAGTCACTGAATCATTGGCTCACTCGATTGTTCAATCGGCTGATTCATTCAGAAATAAAGCAAGTGACTCTCTTTATGAATGAATCACAGAATCATTGGCTCACTTGATTCATTCAAGCGGCTGATTCATTCAGAAACAAAGCAAGTGAGTGTCTTTATGAATGAGTCACTGAATCATTAGCTCACTTGATTTGTTCAAACGGCTGATTCATTCAGAAACTGAGCCAAGTTACTGTCTTTATGAATGAGTCACTGAATCATTAGCTCACTCGATTCATTCAAACACTTGATTTATTCAGAAATGAAGCAAGTGAGTGTCTTTATGAATGAGTCACTGAATCATTAGCTCACTTGATTTGTTCGTTTAAAGAACTGATTCATTCAGAAACAAAGCAAGTGACTGTTATTATGAATGAGTCACTGAATCATTGGCTCACTCAGTTTGTTCAGTGTGAATGTGAAATTTAGCCAACAGCAAAACACAAATTAACAATGTAATATTTCCCTATATTCTCTTTTGAGTATTCAAATAATCCAAAGAAAGCATCTTTAAAACAAAAAGAAAAGTCACTTTCAAAATAAGATTGAATAAACATAAAAAAATCTGACCAAAATGTTTCTGTATAGGTGCATTGCCAAAACAAATAAATGAAATCTTCTTCAGAGGGATGACAAAAACAGCAGTTCACTTCAGCCAGTGACTATGTTTAGAAACGAGTCTTTAAGTCATTGATTCACTTGATTCGTTCAAAACCGTGGATTCATTCAGTAACGAATCATTGACAGGGCAGTGCCTTAAATGCCTTAATCATTTTAACACATTACTCTTTCCAAATTAACATGTTAAACGTGTTACAGCTCTAGTTTTAAAGGGATATTTCACCCAAAAATGAAAATTGTGTCATTAATTGCTCACCCTCACGTCGTTCCAAACCTGACCTTCGTTCATCTTCGGAACACAAATTGAGGTATTTTTAATGAAATCCGAGAGCTCTGTTTACATGAAGCGGAAGCAAGCGCATGCGTCGTAATACTCTCCACAATTGTTGAATAAAGTCGTTATTTTTATTTTCTTTGCGCACAAAAAGTATTCTTGTAGGTTTGCAAAATTGTGGTTGAACCCCTGATGTCACATGGACTATTATACCGATGTCCTTACTACGTTTGTGGACCTGGGAACATTTCAGTTGTGTTGCTGTCTATGAAGGGTCAGAGAGCTCTCGGATTTCATCAGAAATATCTTAATTTGTGTTCTGAAGATGAACGAAGGTCTTACGGGTTTGGAACGACATGAGGGTGAGTAATTAATGACAGAATTTTCATCTTTGGGTGAACTATCCCTTTAAGCAGCCACATGTTGGTGCAAATAAAACCCTCAACATCTTTTTACTAGGGATGTAACGATTCACTCAACTCACGATTCGATTCGATTCACGATTTTTTTTTTAACAAAATGAGATTTAAGACAAATTATAAATTAAATGTGTCCTTTTATTATTGCTTGGACAAAATACTGTACGTGTCTTTGTGAAATTGAAATATAACACTATAATAATATACTAATATGGCACTTGTAAATGATTGCTCTTTTGTTGGTTTTGATTGCTTCTATTGTCCTCATTTGTTAGTTGCTTTGTATAAAAGCATTTGCTAAATGACAAAATGTAAATATTTGTAAAATATTTGCAAAAATATTTGCAAAATGTAAATGTAAATAACAAAAGTTATTTTTTTTTATTTTAAAACAAGCCCCAACAAACTAAGGCTTTGTCTGTGCTCTTTCCATTTAAAATTAGAGGCAACCACTGCATTTTAATCATGATCCAAACAAAGATGCTGTATACATGCAACATGAGCAGTTTTTAATCTAAATTAGATTGTATAATTTATAAATTTGAATCAAAAATAGAATGGTTTGACTTCAGTTTGGTGAGACTATGCATAAAAAATATCTGCATGAAACAGAAACAACAGAGCTGAATGAGACGCAGATTCACTCTCCGCCAGCAGG